CTATTTATTTGAATCCCTAACGCATTTTCCTAATTATAATCAACCACAAGCCGCCATCAAATTTCATCAGATGATGAATAAGCGGAATCGGTAGGTCACTAAACTCACTAGTTAATGCAATGCCAATGCGAGAAAATAGCTTCAATTACGACAGTTGGTATTTCAACACTCTGTCACCGACTACTAAATCGTCAACAAAGACTGCACCAAACATCTTCTCAACGGGTCAAAATAGCCAGCTCTACTTACAATTTTTGGGCAAACTGACTAAAAATCGAAGCTTTAAAGCATTTCCTGAAATTTTCCAACGGTCACATTACCCAAAGCGAACGTCAACCTCTACAGGTGGTGTGTCAATCCAGCTTTCCGAGGCCCGACGCGCCATGAGGGCGGGGGAAAACATGAGGTTCTCCTCCTCTTCATCCTCTTGGTACCACAACATGGTGCACGAGGTTTACCACAACTGACGGTGCGGACTCGTGTTACTCAGTGCGGTGATATAATTATCATCAGCAGCACTGCTACAGCGACGCTTTTAGACGCCTTTCGGCCCCCACCCTAGGCGCCGCCGACGTACTGCCAACTGAACACTTATAGACACGACGCCATGGATTCGTCACTCAATGCCAACGCAAGAAGTAGACGGAAAGCCGGAGGAACAGGAAGTCCGGTGATGACTCGCGAAAAGATCTTCTAATCATTTTCTACTCGAAATTTTTCACTTCCGGTTTTTTTTTTTTGGTTTTGAAGTAGATTGAGAGATTCGGTGGTGGATGCTGTGTTCGCTACGACAAACCAGAAAAAATGCCAAAAAGTCTGCGCGCAATTTTGCGTGGGCAGTCGCTGGTTTCGCCTAGCCGCTGCCAGCAGAATCAAAATTTTAGAACAAAGGCCAAATTATTTCGAACGATTTGAGCAGCTGGCATCTGCTTATAACATCGGTTGGATAAAAATCTCACTTTCGATATAACGAGGTATAAATAACCTGAATATGTTGCTCTGATGTAAAATAATTGAAGTGAAAATAATTTTAAACGTAAAAATAAGAGAAAGAATGCGGTATGCGGAACTTCCATCTATGCGAGGGCAATGAAGGAGAGGAAATCCTGAATGTTCAAGTCTGGCAAAGTTTCGGTGAAGTATTATGTGACGATAAGGAAGCACCGGAGCACGAGAAAAATTGAGAATTTTTAAATGATTGTTGACTCTTGAATAAGTCTCGATTCTCGACAAAAGCCCTTTGTATGCGGTGAATCGAGTTTCACATAAATCACTGGCGTGGAAAAACTGCCATCGTCATTCTTCATTCATCTTGTTTACTGCGAAATTTAATAAGCCACTGTGAGTGGAAAGCAGGTACTTATTTGTCATACTAGGGTATTATAAGTCGCTAAACACGTTATAGAAGATATTTTAGAAATTTTTTAGTTGTATTGTAAGTACGCTTGCTTTATATTGTTTATCTTAGAACTTTGGCACAACTTCTCTGTTTATTTACAAAAACGATAAAAAGAAGTTTTTGTCGCCAGTGTTACCAAATTTTTAATGTTGATAAAACCAAAGCGTCGTTTTACAAGCCCACGCACCGCGATTTATAATTTAAGTACACATATGCCGAAATAACTTAGTATATATACAGACTGGTGACAAAGCAAGGCATAAATTCATTAAATCTTTTAGTGCTGAGTTGTCACAAAAAATCGCCGCACAAGAGGTAAATTAGATTACCTTTCGCTAATTGAATTGTTTGTTTCGGTATTACGTCACTAAAAATATTTTTTGTGAAGCTAATTTTTTTGTTTTCGTTTTGTAAATTCTAGACTACCGTTTGTAAAAATACCTGCTTTGTCATCATTTGGCCAGACGTAACTTGAATGAATGTTAAAAATACTTGGACAAAAAATTAATATGGCAAGTTATTTGGCTCCTTGATATTACAGCTTTTTGTTATTATTGACTACCGGGAGTTCTAATTTTGTTGCTTTTCGTGATTTTCGATTGCCCAGAGGTTATCGGTCAATTTATAGAACTGAATAGAATTAGAACACAATTTTCATTCAATTTGTATAGAGATATTAATTTTTTGACAACACAGCTGCCAGAGTGACATATTTGAGAAATCTAACTCAAAAACAAATTATCATGATTTCTTTGTTAAAAATAATATTAATTTTATTTATTACTTTCTGACCACACTGTAAATGCAATAGTAGAGTAAGTGCAATCAAAATTTCCTACAACTTCCGCAGTCGAAAAGTTATAGTTTTTTAAAGAATTTTAGGAAGCAAATAAAGTTGGCTATGGTGGAACTCAAAATTTTGAATTTTAAAATAAACTCGTATTGATTTTCTCGCCATCAAAAAGATGAAGCATGACAGATACCAAACAACAAATTACTCAGAATATGCAGTGTCCCATAATTAGATATCAATCGAGCGGCTGGTGGTAAAACATAAGTTCACTTTCATAATAAATATATTTTTTGGTGTGGGGCTTTATTTTTGGCTACTGGCGTTCTAACTGGTAATACGGTAAATTTAGAAATGACGACCACCCTTCGTGATATGTAGTGTCATTTGGTTTTTAAACACATTTGTTTCAGAGTGAAGATGACTTCAAAATAGATCGAAACACATTTCTGGCAATAAAAAATCTTTCTTCCGTATGAATGATGTTTCCAGTATTTGGCAATCCTGGATTTGAGAAAATGTTTTCTTTGTCATAATGTCAACTGAAATCAAGTTTTAATTTATTATTTTGTAAATAATCATGTCTTTTGACAGCATATGATTCAGTACTAAATTATGTTATGGTAGACGTATAATTAGATTAAGAACTAAAATAATTTAGGCGTACAAGAATGTTCATTTTAAAAGTCACACACCAAAATTGCATTTTAAAGTTAAAATAAAAGCAAAATAATATATACCGGGTGTCTGCAAATTTGATAAAATTCCATTTGACAACAATGTTTCCTGGTATAAAGCGAAAGTACAAATCAGGAAAAATTGAGTAAGCAGTAATGTTTGACGTATCAAAAATTGTCAAAGTTTTCAAAACCCTACGTTTAAAATTTTTAGTTAATTTAGGTCCCCTGGTATTTTATTGCTGGATGAATTTGAGTGCCACAGTGTTTTTTTTTTTAATTCAGGAGACTCTTGGATACCCATGTGGTATTACTTTGGGGGCCCATGGAGATTTTTTTTTCTAAATTGTTTAAAAGAATTTTGGAGGACTTTGGTGTTCTATTTTTGGAAAATTCTGACCTGACCTGTTTGAATTAATTTTGCAACCCCGTTTTTTTTTTGAAAATTCAAAACAATCTTAAATCAGTCTTATCTTAACAGGTACTAGCCCCACTCGCCCACCCTCTCTTTTCTTAGAGGGTATTTCATTTGCCAAAATCAATTTAATCTTAGCAGATACCAGCCCCGCCCACCCACCCTCTCTTTTCTTAGAGGGTACCTCACTTGCCAAAATCAGTTTTATCTTAGCAAGTACTGATGACTAAATTTTACAAAAAATTATCAAAATTTGGCAACATGACGAGCACATTTTGGCCATATTCTCTAGTGTTTAGTTAGTTTTTAGTTTAGTTGGTTATGCTTTAATGGATTTTTCTTTTACGGGTTTTGTTTTTATTTATAATTTATAAATACCTTATTAAATGTTTTTTGGTTTATTTATTAATGAAAAATAACAGCTTGTTTTATCAATAATAATAATGCACAACGATTAATGATTACTGGTGTTATGGTTATTGTCCTAAAAAAATAAAAAGTGTGCGTGCAATGTTGCCAAGTTTAGTTTTATAAAATTGCGTTTTTTTCATAATCTAATCATAAACAATTTTTTTATTATTTTTTTGGGGCTCTCGAAACCCCCGTACATAACGTACTGTAGAGTTAGTTCGCCATTTTCCAGACACCCGGTATAGCACACTAGGTTTTTATGGATAACTAAATGTTTATTTTAAGTCATTTTTAAGGATATTAATATCATTTTGTATAAAACTTTTTAATTATATGTATTAAATCTTTCTTGTTTCATTTCCGTCTGTAGGTCTGTCGGCTTTCAATTACTTTTTACTGCAATATAATTTTGGCCTCGACTCGAAAAATATATAATAACATATAATATATAATTATATGATGGGAGATCTAGACTACTTTTTGGTGGGAAAATTTGAATTCATGTGGAGTTGCGGGTTCTGGCCCACTTGATTCTTTCTCCTTTTTGGTGAGAACCACCATTAGATAATTGCTACTGTAACGTTTTAAAGAACGGACCGAAACTTACCCCTAAGGGTATCTAATAGACCGAATTGGACAAGAAAATACCCCTAGACGAAATAGCGGTCGTTAATTGTATAAAAAACTCACACCCTAATGCCTTCTGAAAGTCGACCGTGCTCGAAGTGCGCTAGAAAACCTGAAAACTCACCCCCTAAAACATTTTGATGGCCGCGGTCAGACAGAAAACTCACCCCTAAAATATTCTGAAACCGTGTTGAATTGTGCCGTTTTCCCATACTAATTTCTCTTAAAAGCTGATCTAGAACCCCCAATATATAACTAATTCTCAAACTTTTATTGAGTAAATCTCATATGAAATATACATATATATAAAACTTAGAAACATTCAACACATTTAAAAATACAGGGTGTTATATTAAGAAAAAGAAATTCAACATTACGCAACAATAAGTGCAGGAGTTCTAATAAAAAATGCAACTTTTAAACGATTACAATAACATCACATGGTATTAAAGCGTATTTCCAACAGAAATGAGTATTCTTTCACCATCAAATCTTACCATATTGTATATTTAAAACATTAGTGCTACATTTCAAAAAAATCCTTGCTAAAAATGTTTGGAATTCAAATATAGCACCATTCTTAAAATACACCACCTGTAGAGATGTGACCGTTCCTACAGACAACTGATTAACAATATATGAAACCAGAAATCCGTGTTATTAACTAGAAAACCCACTGACCTTTACTGGTGCTTGCGGCGTGGGCGCTCCAGGAATGAATAGGCTCTCAGTTCGTTTCGGTTGGTTGGGAGAAGGAATGATGTCCTGGCCAAGTCCTCGCTTCCGAATAATAATTTCTTCAAACGGTGCCTGTCCAGGATTATTTCCAGCCAACTTGGCGGCGCTTCCACCCAGTTTAGCCGCACTTCCAGTTAGCACCGACCCGTTCTTCGCACTTGGATTCGTTGGTCCTGGTGTTGTTCCTCTGACAACCGAAGGTGCTCTTAATGATCTATCGGGTGTTTCGGAAGGACGGGACGACCTCTCCACGGAAGGTTGCCTAGAACCGACCGTGCTACTCATCCTACCTGTTGCTCTAGAGTACCTATCTACACTCGAATCTCTACTAGGAGGCCTCTTGTAGTGATCGAAGTGATCTATCGAAGACTGTTGACCTAAGTTGCCTAAGTACGGTCTGTCCCCAGAGACGCGCCTGGAGCCTCTCCTCAGAGCGCTGATCTGAGGAGGCACTTCTTCGGAAGGAATAGAATTTCTGGGTTTGGACTGATACTCGTTGACGACTTTGTTGTCTATCACGAAACCTATTTGTGGACCAAACTCGGTGGGATGGGGTACGGAAACGTTGTTCGCTTTACCGTACGCATCTGCCGGGTTGTTCGGTGGTAAATTGAAACCTACAGTTGGTTGCTGTGGCTGCTGTGCTGAGTAATTGTCCGGTTTGTTGCCATAAAAGCTCTGATTATGTGCTTTGTTCGGTATCTGGTTGCCGATTTGGTTTCCGATTTGATTCGAAACCGGTTTGTTAGTTTGGTTCGGGATTTGGTTGGGGATTTGGTTGGGTATTTGATTAGGTACTTGATTGGGGATTTGGTTGTGTATTTGGTTAGGAATCTGATTTGGTACTTGGTTTGGAATTTGATTGACGTGGGGGTTCTCTTTTTGGTTTATGCTAATATCAGTGTTAATTTGGTACTTCAACTGTCTTGCTTTCAGTCTTTCGAGACCGGGTTGCTTGAAATCTGGTGCGTATTGTTTAGCAACAGCCGTAGCTACGTCTGAGTCTTCTTTAGCTTGCGCAGCTGCAATGTCTGCTTGTTCAGCCTTACCTCTCGCTGCTGCCGTTCTCGATATCGCGATATCTGCTTTTTGTAACGCTATTTTCGATGCTCTTTGGGCGGCATTCACCGCAGCATCGATTCTTTCCCTAAATTTAGCTGATCTCATTAAAAACAGTTTCTTCTTTTGACTCGTAATTAAGACGTTGTTTTTGTATTTGCCTTCTTCCTTCTCGCCATTACTGAATGTCGTCACACCGTAGCCATATTTTTTATTTGCGTACCATTCTCCTTCGTATTTGAGACCGTCTGATCTCTCGCTAATGCCGAAGCCTGATCTTTTGTCGTTCTTCCACTCGCCCATGTAAGTTTCTGTAACTGAGGGATCCATTTGCTCGTCCTAAAAATACAATAGTTTACACTAGTGAATTAAACTGAATTCGGGCGGTTAGTTGGCTACGCGACTTCACATTTTTCTTCGTTTCCATTAATTTTAGAAAGTGTTGAAAGACATAGGCGTTTTTCACCAGTGGCTATTACTTAATCCATCAAGACGCTTCTTACAAAATTCTAAACACAACTCTAAACCTCAGCTTTGGCAGCGACTACTTTCAGCTGCATTTTTCCTGAATTCCTTATGTAATTAATAACGTCGAAAGTTAAGCACAAATAGATACCGGCGGCTAAACAACAAAAACAACTTGAAGTATTTGAAAAATGTTTCTTGCGTCAGCGTCGAAAATGAGTAAATCAATAATTGAGGATATCACGAAGAGAAGGTAAAAATATCTACTTTAAAAGAACGAAACACAATTCCAACAACAAGACTTTGATATGTACCGGGTACTTCAAATTTTATTTATAGAACAGAAAATGTGATAAAAACTAAGTTTAAGTACATGTTGAATTTTATTTATTGATAATAGCATGGACAAAAATAATTGAAATTATTATAATCCTCACTACATTACTCGTCCCCTCTTCCTTTCCCCTACATATACACGTACATACATATACAGGGTGAGTCACCAAGGGTGTGTTCCTGTCATTGTCTTATAATCAAAAACAGAAATAAAGTCAAAAATTAACGTTGTACAGTATACAGAGTGTTCTGTTCTTGAGGTGTACGGCACAATTTAGTTTTTATATATAACAGTATAATTAAACACTATATATTTTTTACATGTTCTAATTGGACCCTTTTAGGTCTTATAACCATAGTTTATTTTTGAAAATTACTGGGGTTATCTGTACACTCTGTATTACAATATTTACAAAGAGATAAAGAAAAGTAGGCTCGTCATCCTGGCGTCAATAAAATTGAGTCTTAATGTACACAGTGCTTATAAAAAATCTAAAATATTACAATTTTCATACATCGATGTTTCAATTTTATTATCTAATCTATTTTTTAGATGAAATACCCTGTACATAAATACACATAATGCTTTAGTTTTTATTTTACTGTTATTTTACACTATAATCTCGAATTATGCTTTCTTCATGTCACATGTGATGAAAAAATATTATGGGGGAAACAATTCCATATATATTTTATGTTAAGAAAAGTATTTCTTAATATTAATCATAGCGGTTGTATCATATCTCCTTTTTCAAGCAATATCCTGCTTCTTAGTCAAGATGTCGGTATGCGACAAAGCCAATGTTATTGCCAAATTGCTAAGTTCCCAGAAATAGAATCAAAAGTTTGTTGGCGTCCTATGCTTAAAACCCTCACTTTTTAATGTCAGTTGGAATTATATATTATGTTTATAACACATGAAAATTTGAAAATTTTAGAATAACAGAAACATCAATATGACAAAGGAAGTGTTTTACAATTGAATATTAATTTACGGTATGTTTATGTAGTACGCGATAATAGATCTTACAGTCATATAAACATAGGTTTGACATGTTGATTAAAAAATCAGTCAAATGTTTGGAGCACAATTATGATCTAAAGATGCCAAATTGAGTCGTAAAATATCTATTAAAAAAAAACTATTTTGTCTAAAAATAAAAGTTGGGGTGACAATTGGGGTTACTATGACTATCACACCTTTGACGCATAATTTAACAAGAGATGCCATTAAATTTGGTTTTCACTACACACATTGAAATCACATGTCTGTAAAAAAATCTAGGGCACTTGCTATATAACATATGTTATTTATAAACTGGCATTTATAAACTTTCGTTGTCTGTTCGTTCTCAGTATTATATAATTTAAATAGTTTACTTTAAATTGTTATAGACTTAAGTTCAATTTTGGCACTATACACTACAATTACACAATCACTTCGTTTCTAAACATCTTTTATCTTTCTGTTTCCCTATTCAAGATAAAAAATATTCAAGAAAAGTCATGCAGGTGAGGCACAAACGACACCGTAATCAAATAAAAAATGTGAAATCGTGTTTCCATTCAAACTCATTCCTTATTCATTCCCCAGCAATCTGTTTACCTCTACTACAAAACTCGCATTGGAATCGGACGGTATAGAAGCGTTCGTCATGCCTGATTGTGCGGAATCAGTGCTGACCCAAGAGGCTGATGATCCTGTAGATCTGATGCTCCCAGATCCTCCACCACCTCTTTTTTCTAAATCGCCAGTACTTCGTTGCTTTTTCAACTTCAGCCCCTGCAGCCATTCGATTTATAGCCGGGAGAAACGAATAGCAGAATCGAAACTCACCATCAGCAATCCCTTTTTGATATTCCCGGAACCGAGAGATCGCCTCCTGGCCGTGGGTTCAGCCGAGTTCATCTTGAGGACGAAGCCTCCTCTGGAATCGTCCACCCGTCTCTCTCGTTTCTCCGCCGCCTCTGGGTTTGCCCCCGTATTGCCTTCATTACTGCGGAGAGACGTCAACGACGCTCTTAATGTCTTGTTAGCTCTGTATTTGGACGCTTTGCCAAACGGCGCACTATTTCTCACACCATAGCCATGCCTCATACCCCTCAGCCATTGTCCTTGGTAAGTGCCTGGAAACAACAAAGGGTGCTTTTAGCTTTCACAGTCTTGGTAAAGTGCCGTTAACTACTTTTACACTATACCGAGAAAATGGTACAAAATGAGCGAATGTAAAAGGCGGGGAATGGGTTGTTCCGAAAGAAGGTGTCTGGTTGCACTACCAGCAAAAATGTAACTGATAATATGACAATGAAAATTCTAAAAGTTGTTCCTTTTTACTGATTTCTACCTTGATTTTGACTTTCTCGACTATGACGTTTCTAGAATAGGCTAACATTTTTAGTAAACACAGTTCCAGTTAGGTTATTTCCAATAAAAATTTGAAAAATTGAATGTGGACGAGGTCTTTGTAAAGAGAAAAATTCCTTTTATGTTAACGCACAGAAGGATAACAAAAAACGAAGAATTATGTATTTGTAAAGGGATTATCCTCTCATATCATGTTTCAAATCCTGCTGTGCCAAAATTGTCCTGTTTCTTGAATATAAAACTGGCAAATCGATGCGTCAAATCGTTCTACTGCGAAGGTTTTCAAGTGATTATCAAATAAATTTAATAACTTATCCATCAAACACCCAAGTTTTGTAATTAAAAATTTTAAAAAGTTTCTTAATCACATCGGAGCACTGGGTTTGAAAGACGATGAGTTATTAACTTGCTAATAAGTTTTTTCTTAATATCTCACTTCTACAGACCTTAATTTAACTTGAAGATATGTTGATTTAAAACATCTTGAAACGACAAATAGTCATGGAATAAATTGAGTTCACACGTGTTTGCTTTACATACAACATTTATTTTTCAGTTCAAGAGACAATTTTCTCGATTATCCAAAACAGTAGGAATATGCAACTACGTTCTATAGATGGCCACTTTATGGGTCGTTTTTAAAATATTTTGCCATTTTTAACACAATTGACGTAATATGCAAACATTTATAAACGTTCAAAAATGAAATTTCCCTGGTCAAAAGAAAATAATAAAATATTTTTAAATGTAGTTGTCAACATATACATATTTTTATTAATTTCTTCCAAGGTTTATAACCGTAGTTCATTTTTGAAATTCCGATGTAATATATTGCCCCGACATTCTTTTTTTTTGAAATCGTAATAACGTTCTTTTTAAACACTGTGTTGCAATTTTTTATGGAGAGATAAACAGAGATACCGGCTTTTTTATATTGGGTGATTTTTAAAATTTTTGGTCTAGTAGGCCATGACGCTTACGTCAGCCGTTTCAACTGTACTACTCACGTACCCGTCATGGCCAACTAGAGCAGAAAATTTAAAAATGACGCGGTAGTATTCATTTAAAAAATATATTAATATACAGAGTGTTTAAAGTTTAGAATTTACAATTTTCCAATGTCCATATATCAGTTTTTTCAAATAGAACACCCTGTATTTTTATCACTGTATCTTACTCCCTAATTTTTGTTCTATTTCTTTCAATATATCGGTACGTCTCTTAAAAAAGTTAAAAATCTGGATAACTATCAACTTTAAATATAGAAAAGATTTAAGTAACAAAAAAGAAAGAGACCAAAAACATCAGAGTAAAGTGCAGTAATAAAATACAGGCTGTTATATCTGAAAAAGTTCAAATAATGATGTTTAAAAATTGTTAAAATTTTATTTTAATTTAAACACTGTGTACATTAAAGCTCAGTTTTGTTTATAGTACACTTTATTTATCTTTCCACAAAATATTCTAACCACTATTTTAAAAATAACCCCATTAGGAAGAATTTCCTTCACCCCTGAAGTACAATAAAACATTTTTTAGAAAAATTACTAAATTTGATTATGGAAATCTTATTTATTGTTTATGAGAACCTCTATAAGTTAAAATAAAAATATGTATGTAATGTTAAAGTAAACGTAAAGAAGCGTGCGACGCATATGTTTTAAATGACTTGTTCTTTACAAAATTTTGTGTATCAATTTGGATAGGTCCAGTGTAATACTAATAATAACAGTATTGCATTTCCAAATTTTCGGGAAAATGGAGTGAGCGGTTCCAGATTGAATCAATAAAATAACTCATTCCCTATTTTTTTTTTTTAATCACCTTGTATACAAAAATCTAAAAATTATACATGCAATGATAAATCACAGGCATAAAGTTATCATATTCTGCACATTTTCAATAGAATTTTTCGGCAAAATTATGAGATGACGCCATCAATTTTTTAAAGGGGATAAACAGATTCTTTTTGATTAATGATTACAAATTTATTGATAAATTTCGAATCATTCGGTTTTGCAGTTTCTGATTTGATTTATTCATTTTTTTTTGAGTCACCCTGTATAACCAATTCTAACAAATATGAATGGAATGATAAATCAGCCAAAGTATCGACTCATCACATTTTGCACATTTTAAGCAGGATTTATTTGGCAATACTTTGAGATGACGTCATCAGTTTTTAGGGGAGTTGTAAAACGATAAATTTTAATTAACGATTTACCATGTTTCCGATAACCTTAAAAAGGTTGTAAAGTTTCAGCAAAATTAAACTGTAAAGTGTTGCTACACAATTTATTTTTTTACAAAAATCTGGATGCCTGGGTAAAACTCAACACCGATTCATAAACTACAAGTGGAGGAGTATTTATTCTATAAAATTTAAATAGCATTTACCATTCTAAATTTTGAAGATGACGTCATGACATTGGTAGTGGGGATGATCAGACAAATTTTGGTCAGCGTTTTAGAATCTATATGATATTCCTAACATACATACGAAATTTGTAAAAATTTTAAGGACCTTGGAATAACGTGGAAACGTCCTAGCCGAATTTCAAAAATAAATTATGGTTATAAAGTAAAAGACGGTATATAAGAATACAAGAAGATATATAAAAATATACTCCCGTTGAAAAAATTTTGTTTTGTGTTAAGCCTTAAAAGCAGAACATTCTGTATATTGAAAGAATTTTGGTACATGGTCTTCAAAAAATTTACTACTTATGATCAAGAATATTTGGCCAAATACCGTGATTTAATAATTTAAGAAACATCGTTAGAGGCTCACACTAGAGATGTAATCAACAGATTTGTTCGAACTGGCAGTGTCAACAAAGGAAAATCTCCTGGAAGATTTTCTGTATCTGAGGAAGTTGTTGGTGATTTGAGACGACTTGAGCAGAATCCCCAAACATGTTTGACAAGATTTTCTCAGCAGTCAGGAGTTCCTGTTGCAACATGAAATTAACCAATGGGTATTGACGAAAAGATTACAGAACATTTTTGAAATAAAAAGTAGAGTGAACATGTGCCTAAACAAAATGGTGAAGATTTTCGACATTTACTGTGATGTTTAACCGCAATAAATTTGTTTCTTTTTATTGTAATGAATTCGTTTTATTTTTTAACAAGACATGAAGCATTTAGGCAACCAGTTATACAGATGCGTGTGGTATTTGTCGTGCGTGCTTGGTCATTTAGTAACGTCTAAAACTGGGAGGCGGCACGTTTTCATGACTAATAAACATTTATGAACCCCTATAGTAATGAAATTTTATAAATTTAAATTAATGTCACTAACTTTTTCGTTATCCATGAGGTTCCTGGAACCAAGGAGCTTTAACAACTAAGATTTCTTGACCTGTTAAACGACGCATATTACCAATTTAACAAATAATCAACAACTAAATCGCTTCATACAAATTAGTGGAAACGTAAAAATTTTGCTGAATGATTATTACCAGCGCAAAACGAAAACAGCAAAATTCGGCGTCAGCAAAAACCGCCGGAAGCGTTAATTAAAACGATTGTGGTTTCAGTGTTTGTCATAGCGTCAATCATTCATTTCATTTTTAGTTACAAAAACATAAACCTTACCGTGTCCGTAATGAAATAAATGAAGTTATTGCTGAGCAAATATTGATTTTGGACTTTCATTTGCTGACCCGCACAACCGTAAATCCATTAAATAAATTTCATATTTTCGTAAAATTGAAGCGACTTATGTAAAGCTGATCTTTCAGCTTTAAACAACGACGCAAAAGTTCGATTTCGTGATATGATTAATATAATTTCTGAAACTAGCAAGCGCTCAGGAAAATTAAACTGGATCCTAGATTAGTTAATACGATTATTGGAACATCAAGTTCCACATAAATGTTACGAGCGTGTCACAAAATTATTTTAACTTCGTTAGGAGACGAAGTAACTGCATTGTTTCAAGGATAAAATTTCAATTTCAGTTTCAATGTGGTGCACGCGATTCGAAATGCTGCATTTTTGTAAATTATAGTCCATTTTTATCCAAAATTGTTTACACTGCATGTCATGTAAAACTGAATTTGTAACCGCTGCACTGGTTTGATGATAATAAAATTCTCACCAAGTCACTAAAATGCCTATATCTTTACCACATACTTCAGCATTTGATGACCTCGTGTTTCTAAAATCGATGTAATAATGTATTCTAAAAGCGCTAAAGCCAGAAAGCATATTTCAAGAATACGAACACCTCATGAAATTTTCCATTTGTAAAAGGTAATAAAAAAAGTGACCGATGTCTCTGTGAAACATTTCTGCATTTCACGAACGCACTGCATTTCTGGAGCTAAATTCTCCAGTAGCTGCCAACAGCAAAAAGAAGAAAACCGAACCAATCTGACTGTATTGAAGTCATAAATCTAAGAAACTAAACCTCTGTGACTGTTGCTACTTAGTAACAAGGAAATATGAGGACTTGTATTGCTCTAATTTATAGGTAAGTATATATGTGTACACCAAAGCCCCTAACCTTGTGTACCCCATTACCTTGTGACTTCAATAGCGAGACACACTGAATGTAAGTTATTATTGCAAACAAACGACCTGTTGTTCTTTCCTTTGTGAACCTTACATTTATCGTGTAGCACAACTGTGACATAAATCGATTTATTTCCAAGAATAATTCCTAACAATCCTTATTTTTCCATCATACAACTATCGAGCTTCCATTTTATTACACTGAAAAGCGACAAACAACAAAATTAAACGTTTTACCTTT